TATTTATAAATATTTTACAAGATTAAATATTTAACTTGCCAAAGCTTTTCACATATTTTTTATTTTGGTTTTAAATTAAAACGTTTAATTGAAACTTTTCATTATTGTTGCCATGATTAGTTTTAATAACGGTTACAAACAACGATCTACTTTATTTAATGGAGCACCTTGTATGAAATGCACAAACCTAGCAATCAAGATAACAATTTTCCCAGTGTGTAAAACTGTAACATTTCAACACACCAAACTATTTCTAATTGAAAGTTTCGATGTTATCATGATAATAAAATAAACTTTAATGTCTTTAAATAATGCTTTTGAACGACAAACAACTGAATAATTGTACTCGTGTTGCATTCGGGTTTTAAACTTAATTCTTTAATTGGTGCAGATACATTTTTTAAAAACCTATTAAATTAAATAATTTTATATATTTACTAACACTAACCTGTTCTTATTAGCTTTAGGCTTCTGATTGAAGGTAAAACCTTTGGGCTTAAATTTTCCGCTAAGACCTAATCAAACATTCACTGGAATACTGATTTTCATTGAGGGATCTAGTATCTTCAAACAATTAAATAGTTCACAGGAGGTAAAAACGCTTTGAGATTTGGTCCATTGGAGTTAAAATATGGCATATTTCCTAAATATAAAAAAAAATTGCATCCTCCTAATTGTGGACCCTGCGAGCACATGAAACTTTCATGATGAAAGCGTTTAGATTTCAAAATTTTGTAAGCTTTTTAAATCCAAAAACCGTACTACTCGAACGCACACATAGAGTTAAATTTTTGTGCCGAAACTGATGATAAAGGTATACATTGTACATACCTACTAAATAATACAGTTGTTTTAAAACGTATCAAGGTCTTAATTTAAAATATTGTAGTTTGCGCTAATTATGGGCATTTCTGTTACTCTACTATGTAATAAATTGACAAACTTAACTATTGAAAATATACTGAATAAGAGGTCCATATTTCAATCACTGACACGAAAAAAAATATTTCTCGCAGTTTCTTCATTGTGGATAAAGTCTTCTTAGTTAATGCTATTGAAATGTGTAAAAAATTTATAAGTTTACGTCCTGAACACGTCGCCACCGAGAGTTTCTTTTTGCGATATGGAAATGAAAAATGCACTGTGCAACCTGTTGGTATTTACTCTTTGTCAATAATTCCATCTAAAGTGTTTTTTATTGAAACTACCAGATTCAGAATCTTACACTGGTCATAGTATGAGTATCGGCAAAATTATTGGTTGATGCATATTTCCATCATCATGGCAAGTAAAATGGATATAGCACAAAAATCTAAGGTGCGAGTTCTTCAATAGAGAAGTGAAGTAAAAGACACTAGTGTATGGTTAACCAATGTGTGAAATGTGGATAATAGTATATTATGTATCAAGTTTGATAAACGCCATTTTATACACGAATTTAATTTAGGCAAGAGCGAGCTTGCTAGCGAGTGCTTAAATTATTGAGTGAATAGAAAAGTTTATAAACGAGGTGCATACTATACTTTTTCTACGGCAAATACTTATTATTATCTTAAAATGATTTAAATAAAAAATCTATGAAACCATAGGGGTATCTGTGTGTCACCGTCAAATATCACATTTTTATATTTTATAAACACAGATTATAAAGGTTATAAATCGAAATGTATTTCTTGAAAATTGACAGTTTTTCACAGTGAAAGTAAAGAAAATGTTTTTTGAGCACTTTACAGTGGAGTCCGTTCCCGAATTTAAGTTATAGTTTACTGCCGGCGAAATTAAAAGGTCAGTACAATGTTCATATAAACTTTTCAAATATTGGCGTTGAGAAACTATTTAATACTTTTGTATTGAGATAATAAAATAATTTTCACATTTAGTATTATTTTACAAGAAAGGCACTTCATTTTAACGATTGTATGACATTTGACAACTGTCAACTAACTTAAAACTAACTTCAGCCTGTGACTAAAAACCTGTTGCTAACTTCCCGTGACTAAAGCGCCATAAAGCCACAACTTGTCAATGTGTATTTAAAAGGTCACTTAGTTTCATGAAAACATGTACGATAGAGGGCGTTTTAAAGGTGGGAGTAGAAAAAATATATTTTATCAAATTCTCGTGATATTTTTATTAAAGTTTTGGCGTTTACCCCAAACATTTTTAATTTTTTTTTAAATCATGCTGATCCTAAATGTTTATTATCTTGATATTATTGTCATGTCTACTTTATAATGTATTTTAAAGGTTTAAAATCATTTTTTTAATACATTCTATTATAAAACACAATTTAATGCTACTTTAGGATTTTTCAGCAAAAACAATCTTGCAATTTTTTTGGTGTACTGTCAATAATAATTTTAATTATAATTAATATTAAGGTTGGGAAATGACAGACTCATTAAGAAACAAATATTAGACGGTACAATTTTGGAGTGGTTGATGCCTACTTTATTATTAGGTTATTTTTTAAAGAGCTTTCTTTTGTGTATTGTATCAAATTTTGAGTAGCTTTATGTTACATTATGTATATTAAAGTTTAGAGAGCTTACTTAACTTAAAAACTCTATTAAAAAGCGTTTAAGACTCGGCCGTTAATATTTTATTAGAAAAAAGTTGGATTGGAAGTTATTTCCGTGGATTAGATTTTACGTCCCCTACATAAAATCTGAGAATGGCCCATCTACTTAGCACCCTTAGCGCAGGGTTATCCTGCAAATAGGGTGGTAATATTCTTTAAAAAACAACGGAAGGGTCTCAAAATACCCGCAGACACGCCGAGTTAACTATATTGACTTATTTATTTTCTTGGACCTTTTTTAAGTAAATTACATTTAAAATTGGATAGAAAAAAATATACTAGCTACCGTCTAGGGGCCTTAGGTAAAACTGAAATTATATTTTTTATTAGGAAGGTAAATGTGTTTTTGCATTGTCAGACGAACGAAAAATATATTAATATCCTTTATAATACATTCTACCGAATTTTTTTTACAAAATTATTAACTCAATGTATAATTTTTCTAAAAGTAATTTATATTATTCATATTATCTTGGACAAAATTTAATTTAGTTAATGTATTTACGTATTCGTTTTATTATAATGACAACCACAAACTCAATTTTGGTAGCAGCCTTGATTGGCTCAACGCGTTGCAACGGTAGCAGCTTGAAAGTAGTTTAGGTAATTAAATTATAATCAAATATCCACATCAAAGCGCCTTACCTACATTCTATTAATATACAAACAATATGAAATCATATTATATACAAAAAGTAAAGTCCTCTATAAGTTCAAACATTAATTCCCAAGAGATTCCAGAAGCAAACTGAACGGCTTGTGCGGGTTAGGGGTAGGAACGGACCGGAAGCTCCCATCCGGAGGACTATTATATTTGTAAATATCATACCTTTTTTATGGGAAAGCAAAGGAAAAATGTTTCCTATACATCTTAAACTGTGGAGAATAGTATGTTCTGAAATAAGTTTGGAATACGGCATATACCTACCGCTCGAGTGAAAACTTTGTCATACGAGCCGAAGGCGAGTTTGACGGTTTCACGAGTGGGGAATATGCAATTATTATTATTATTATTATTATTATTATTATTATTATTATTATTATTATTATTATTATTATTATTATTATTATTATTAAAAATACCATAGAAAAATAATTTAATTGGGAAAAAGTGAGGTTGGATCGGTCTAAAATTTGTTAGATATTAAAAACAGAGATGACGCCACCACTGTTTATTCTGCCATCCGATGATAGAATATTTCATTCTGTAACACTTTACGGAATATAGGTATGTAATTCCATAGATAAAAGGAATATTAGAAGGGTCAAATTCCGTAAAAGGAGTAGAAAAAATGGTTTTCTTGCTTCTCGGTTACTGTATTTATCATTACTATGGCAATTATACGGTGGTTCATTATTTTCTTAAAAATTAATTTTACGCTGACATTTGTCATCGAATCTGTGGTTATGGTAATTACACAAAATTGTATTAAATTCTTTGATAAAATAAGAAAATGAGAAATGGCCATTTCAATTCGGATGAATGGTAATAAGTGGATTATCACTTGCCTTCGGCTCGTGTCGCAAAATTTCATCCTCATGGAAATGGCCAACAACAACCCAATAGTTGAACAATTTACTATTTTAATAGTTTTAAAAAACACATTTTTTATTCAAATCCTTTAATCCTTGTTTTGCGTTCCATAATTATTTATTAGTACCTACTTATATGTAAACACAACAAATAGCAATTGTTTGATTAAAAAATTAAATAGAAAATAAATCGAATGTTTTTTACGAGGAAATCACCCAAATAGTAAAATAAGAAAATCAATCCAACAGTTTTCAAAATTTCAAGAAAATCAAACAATTAATTTTTAAATTAATCCTAAAAATTATTTTTTTCCGTTCACGGTATATGTATAGAATAAAATATTTTTAAGGCCTAAAAATATTCTTAAATAATAACTAAATACCGACCTATTTATCTAAAGTGGTATAAAGAAAATTAATACAAACTGCTTCGTAATTAACCGGGTATATATAATATATATTAGTAAACAATTGTTAAAAAGCTTTCAGGCTCGATAAACCAGGTTTAAATACTCCATACTTATGGGTAAAACTTGGTCTCTATAGAGAACGCCGTGGTAAATCACAATTCACAAGAGCTTCAGGTCGATTTCAGTTCGCTTTCAGGAGCGTAGCAGGGTATATAAAAATGGTGGTCCATAGCACACGGTCAGCGTAATTATCCTAATTAATCCAAGTTTTGCCCTTTGTCAACTTTGAACAATCTCGCTAACAGTGTATTGGGCTGCTACTTGATCCGTCTACAGAAGGTTGTTTCTGATTTCAGTATAATTACGGACACCGTGATGCACCGTCTCGCTTCACCCTTCGCTATTCTTTCGTCTTGCGTCTCTCTCGCCGCGCGAGCTGGAAGGGAACCAGTCTTCAGTGTGTTACCGACTGCCGTGTAGTTCACAACGCAGACGCCTCAGTATCCCCTGAACCTCCGAAGCGGTCGCGTCTGGCGCCTACACAACGCTTTTCAGCCTGCCGCTTACGCGACTTTTCAGCCACTGAAAAAACCCAACGAAATTGCCGATTCAAAACTTTATCAGGATGATTATGTGTTTTAGCATTGTGTTAACTTGTGTGATGTGTTTCTTTTAACATATTTCCAAAAAGGATACCCGTCAAATGTGTGAATAATTTTTACTGTGATACTTCTTGTGAATTGTCTATTGTGCCTACTGGATAATTTTTAACCGTGTTAATGTGGGTGACATTTTTGGATTAATTTTGTGTTTTTTCGAACTGTGAGTACCTTTTTTTACTCCAAGTGCTTGTTTTTGTAAGAATAATTTTAACAAGTGAAAAATATCGCCATAATTATTATTTTTTTTTCTAATGAGACGAGAAGTTTTTAGTTGAACTATGAAAATCCATCCTACTTCAAGTGATAGGTTTTAGCCGAGGTACCTTATCTATCTCCCAGGATTATAACTAAAAAAATAATTAAATTTCATAAATATATTATTATTATGTTTGCAAGCTTTTTGTCAAAAATAATTTTCAATTAGAGAAGAGGGATGTATAAAAGTATCGGATATTACAAATTAATACTTGTAATAAACAAACATTTGAAAAACGAAAATCTAAAAAAGTAAAAATGAACTGTCTAAAGTTAAAACCAAAAAATACTTTAATTTTTCATTATTTTTTATGTTATCTTTTTTAAACCTAAACATATACAAAATTTCATAGGTAGCACTTAAGTCCTACTTTCAGGATAATTTTATCCTATAGAAAATATCTGCAGTCTTATACAAAAATATTATTTTTATTTACAAAAGTTAGTAATATATCATGACTTTATTAAAAAAGTTACCAAAACTCTTAAGTTAATACCAACATATTTTTTTTTACGAAATTAAAGCTTAAAATATTAAAAACCTTTTATGAATTCATACCTAACAACTCTTAGTTTTTTTAGAAAACTAAACCTTATTTACTTAACAGATAAAATAATATTTTAAATTTACACCTTCGAAGTAAAATTGGAAAATGTATATATTATGCGTATAATGAGTTTTCTCATAACAAAATCAGTCAATACTTGACTTTTTTAAATTTGTTGGTTTAATAGATTAAATTATTTGGATAGTGGACCATATTCATATGAAAAATATTTAATGATAATTATTACTCTATAAAACATTGCAACATTTTTCAAAATTTTGAAATTCAATAGTATTTAGTTTTTATTATATCTGTGCGTGTAGATGGTAGATGTTATCACGCATTGTGTAACTAAAATAAGTATATAAAGCGACAATGAGTATAGGGTACAATTTTTAGGCTGGCCGATAATAAAACCAACAGTTTTCGGACAAAAGCTTTTCACGGAAAATCTACCTATGTATTTGTGGCAACACGTAATAACGAAAAAATACAAAGATATTTATGATGGATTTTTGCTTGGCATGAAACTCATTTGTAATTTTGTTTTAATGTTTTATTAATTACTATTAATATGCATACAACTCTGCAGATTTCCATACTAATATTTACCCTTAAAATGTAATTTATACTCAAGAAAACGAGTTTTAAACATTAATCCCGGCGCATTCGCCATTTTTAAACTTGCTTGCCAAAGACCGCTAAAATAAAACAAAACTAAAAAATTATTTTAATATTTCTCAAAGCTAATTATTTTCCTTCATCAAAAGCTATGTCGTAATTTTTCTTGAAATAAATAAAAAAACTTTACTGCAAATGCAAAATGAGTAGTCGATCTAACAGCTGCCAAAAGACATTTTTCAGTCACAAATTCTCTTGAATTTGCATTAATTATTTTAAGAACTAATTTCCTTTAAAAAGTAAAGTTTAATTTATAAATCAACTAAAAATGCAAATGAACGTTTTTAATCAGCTTTTTTATATTTTATATTTTTTATTTTATGAATTAATATCTTTAGTTCATAAAACTACTACGGTCATAATAATATTAAAATTTAATGGTAAAAATGAATGCATAGTTAAATAAACAACAAAGAATATTCTAGTAAATTTATATAACATAAACCAATATTAATATGATTTTAATGGTTTTACTCATGCAAGAAATTTTTATAAAGTTAAAAAAACCTAAATGTTAAACTGTTCTAATTAAAAGAAAATTACTTGCCCATATTAAAACATTAGTTATTTGCCTGAAGAACCGTGTCATGCTATTTTAAAATTAGTTATAAAATTTTTGTATTGCTAATTTTCCCGATAAATTTAGTAGCGTGATTTTTGACACGAATTACGTTTATATATATATATATATATATATATATGTTTTATTAGGCTATATTTTATATACAAAAAAATATTATATTAAGTTTAGCTGCTTTACATGAATTAAATCCAAAGAAATTAAACCTAGTAAGTTTTTATAAATAAAGTAAGTTTGCATTTTATTTTGTTTTGAAATCGCTAAATTATCTGCAGTACATCTCGATTTGGACTGTGCGCGCCATCTATGCGAAAGCTTTGGAACTTTTAATTGAACTTTTAAAGGTGATGTGGCCCAGAGCGATCACATCTAATGTATAATTTAATTTGAAAATTGTACAGGCAGTTTTAAACTGATATGAAATGGTTTCGAATAATACAAAGAAATTCGTGGGTACACACATGTTTGATGTTTTTGTATTAAAATTTCCTTAATGTTATGAACATGTCTTTATTAGGTATTATTTTAATATAATACAATAAAAATGTAAACACCAAAAAAATTATGTTTACAGGAACATTCTAAGTTTTATTTATTTTTTTTATATTTCGGCGGAATAGGTTTCAATGAACCTTTTTATTATAATTATAAAGCCGGACATTTTCGTACAAGTGCTCGTCACCGAGTCTCTAACGAGTATTTTTAACGTAGTGTCCCCAAAATAATTACAAAGGACCGGTTTCTCATGTTTTAAACAGTTTCTCGGAAATTTTAAATAACCGACTTGCATTTATTAAAATAAATATAACAACACTTGACAAAACTTAGTAATTAAAACCGATTTAATTAAAGTGATATTTTTTTCTTTAAATACGTAATAATGACGTTTTAAAAATACCTACCATTTTATAGTGACTAGATATTGGGTAAAGTGAGTAAATATTTTAAAAAGACATTTTTATTGTTTAGATAGTTTAAGTGGCTACTTTATTTAATAACCTATTAAACGCAAAAGTTTTGTAATGGTTATACTTTTTTAAATATTAAAGTTCTTTGTTTAACATAAAATTCCATTAGTGACTATGAAGAAACATATTTAAACAGCAACAAATAAAAACTTAACCAATTAAACTAAACGTAATCTCGTCGTCATAATTTGTTAATTAATTGAAGACCACTGCGAGAAATAGGCCACTATTATTCATTGTTTCTTTGGGAAAATTATTTTTTCAAAACCGTTAGCGAATTCCTAACTATTTTTTATAGTTTTGCTAAATATGACTTTAGTAGGTATTTTCCCATTATTGTGCTTTGTTCAGTAGGTTATTATTTAATTTTATGCTATCATTAAGTAATTGTCCTTTTTATTTATTTGATGTGTAATTAAAATTCCATAAAGTGGTCCCTTTAAATATTAGATTTTCAATCGGTGCAGGAGCTTTAAGCATTTGGATGAAATACGCGAAAACTGTATCGAATCGGAAAATGGGTTTGTAATTTTCTGCAATTTTTTCCCGATATTTTCGTTTGTCGTCCGGATTTTTGTGTCCTGGCAAGGATTAAACTTTTTGGTGTACTTAAAAAAAGTGGCTTACGCATTAGCGTTTCCATTTGTTTGTTTACACGTGGTTTTAGTGAAGTAAATGTTTTCCCCTCGCGGTAAATACAGCTTTGTTACGTGCACACGAATAAGTGCTTTTAAAAAGTGTAAACAAATTTACAATTAACCTATAGTTTTATATTATATATCTATGTGTTATTTTTTCGGAATTTGCATGTTTACCTTTGCAAGCACCAACTTTCATTAAAAAATAATACAAATATTTGCTTAACTGCATGTAAAATGAATGTTTTAATTTTTTGAATAAACGATTTATATTTTTAATTTTTTAGAAAAATGTTATTTTATTTTTAAATTTATTAAAAAAACGTTTTATTACACTAAATTATGACATTAAAAGGATAATAATAAACGTATACTCTTAAATATAATATATTTACAAGTAAAGTGGGACCAAGTAAATATAATATATATAAGTAATTATTAGTGGAACCAAGTTATAGGTGATTTTATAAGCATGAGAAAGTGATATTGCAAGAGAAAAATATACCCATCCTTGTTTTACTTTATATTGAAATATTTGTCTTAAAAATATATGCAGTCTTTCTAAAAATATAAAAATATCCATGTTTGTAACGTAATTTTATTTAATGAGATGAAATTACTTTATTTAATATAAAAAACCGATCATAACTTTACTAACATTACTAACAAAAATATAATTTATTACCATCTTACAATTTTTGATTTAAATGCGAAAATCAACGTAAAGATTAAATAATAATAATAATATATTACATTTCCTACAAACTAAGGTGAAAATTGGGGTTATCTCGTACGGTTCTATTGATTTTTAAGGTTAAATTTCGACATACAGATGTAGATGAAAAAAATTAAGTTTTCGTTAAATATGCTTCTTGACCTTTTCGACCGAATCTTTTGAATGAAATTTGCTCAACATTCTATTCTTAAAGAAAAAGCAAGAATTGTTCATATTTCGTGTATTGGTGTTGATAATTCAGTTTGAATGATAATGGCTCTGTTCCAAAATTCTTGTAAGATGTAATGTGTAATTATTAGCTTCGCCAATATTTTTTTAACTTAACACACTTTTTTTTGCTAACACACTATTTTAATTCCAGTGTTTAAGTGTTTGTTGTTTATTTTACAAAATTATTTAAATTACTTCAAAAATAATATCTTATAGTATTTTAAACAAAATTTGTACTAGCAAAATAATACTTTGAATATTATTTTTTTAAATATCTTTAAATCAAATAAAAAATAAACTCTTGTAACATTTTGTGAAAGGGTTGTATTAAACGATTATTTTTTAAATAAATTTAGTATTTTTAACAATTTTATCTCTATAAAATTAGGTAATAAATAACTATAAAATAAAATAATATAATAAAGGAACTATTGATTTAAAACATAATATAAGCTTTTAAAATTTATTTTTCTTTGAAATTTTAATGTAATAATAATTGATATTTACAATCATACTATAGTTGAAATCAATAAACATAAAAAAA